TTTCCTCAGTTTACAATGCAAAAGTAAACTATATATTGTGATTTTATAAAAGAGATTTTGAACATCCTGTTAGTTTATTACTTTAGTAATTCATCAACTATTAGTGTAGTGAATTTGTGAAGATTTTTTTTAGCAAATGTATTTTACACAATATTTAGGACATATCATGTAAGAAACATATAAAAGCTTCCTAAATGATAAAAGAAACAATGACAACTGTATGAATTAAATAAAAACATAACATTGCTTTTAAAACATTGTAAAACAGAATTTGATGGTGATATCAAAATTCATATACATTTGTTTTATTTAAAGTCTTTTAATAAAGGAAATGTATACAGAAATTTGAAAATGAAATATGATCTATTCTTCATTATATTAAACGTCATTGGCTTGAGTGTATTAAGTAAAATATTTTCTTATTTCTTAATCATTTTTGTCTAAGAAGCAAGTAAAAAATTCTTTACAAAATGTAGCTAACTAAAATTCGAACTTTTTTAAAATTTGGTGTATTTAAAATAATACATAATGAATCTCGAAGAATAATTTGTGTACTATCTTTTTTTTTACATTTTGTTAGTATAAAATAATGTTTACTACATAATATGTAACACAAAAAAAACATTTAAAGCATCTATCTATTTTAATTAGTCAGTAAGTGGGAGTGAGAATATGCCAAAATAAAATATTTAGAAATATTTTATTAGTTTTAAAATAAGTATTACCCTACGCACCTTTCAGTTATTGCTTATAGTAAATGACTTACAAGATTGATAGTAAAGTAAAAAACTGGTAAAGATAAAGCAGGATGTTTCTAAATTATCTTACAGAATTGTGTCTCGAGAAAACCTCCACTGTTTATACCACTTTTCATACAAATCAAACAACACGTAAATATCACCGAACAAGCACAAACCGAAAATGGCCACAAACATCAAAATTTTAAGACTACTGCCAGCTAACACTGCTCTACACTAAATGGAACGTGAGATAGGTTTTTACGGCATCAAATACTTCTATGAGTGCACTTTCCAACAGCTTTTACTATCACACGGCCCCTACTATAAGCAAGTAGTACAAACGGCATGAAAAATACTTGGTTACTGACGTACGTACTTTACGCACTGGGAGCGGTCAGCATGTAATCAGCAGCGCAGCGTCAACTACTGTAAACGTCAAGTTCACCTTTTAAGCACCAAACAGTATCACTCAATAAAATCCATTTAAAACAACTTTGTCACTAATCACTTAAGGAATTATAATATTCGACAACGAAGCGATATCTACCGACCCTCCTCCCTTCAATCAGCATAAAATAATCATAGACAACAAATATTTTTCGAAGATGGAGAAGAAGTTTATGTTCATGCATCTAATATTTTCAGCCGAAATGATGCCTGCGTTATAATTTATTTTTGAAATTAGAAATACCACAAAGAAGAGATTATATATATATATATATATATCTTAATAAAATTACAAATATAGTATTTGAATTTAATGCAGTTATTAAAACAAAAAATTACGTAGTAACATTTAGTTCTTAATAATTATACAGAAACTATGGGCTACTGTTTAAAGATATGCTTTATGTCTATGACGATACAGTAAATTGTCAACATCAACATTATAAATCTAATATTTTTAAAGTGTTACTTTGTTGTATAACAATTTTAACTCCATATTGAATAAATTAAATTTATTCATAGACAATTTGATTAGTTTAGAAAAAATAGACCATGGATTAAACAGAGCTCTCAAAGGCGTTCTATCTTCTTCACAAAGTTTTTTGATCGGATACACTGTGGTTAACTTATTTTAATAATTATTTTAAATGAGATATCTAAATCAAATTAATAAAATTTAATAATTTATATGCAATTAATAAAATTTAGACAACACAATGAACTGCATTAATAATCACATGTATCTATCCCACTGTATTAAATTTTGGCAACTATTATGAGCCACAAGGATTATACTAATAATATTCAGCGATTGATGATATATTTTTGGTACTTATGATTTATGTAATAATTAATTTGCTTTCAATAGTTTTGTGAAGATCCAAATTATAAAAGTAACCTGGTGACATTTTATTAAATTAATCATAAGAATGTTTTTTTTTTTTTATTTGCTTGTATGGAACAATTGTAAAACAAGCAAAAGATAAAATATAAAGGCCCTATTTTTTAAGTACTATTCTAAGTTAAATCTAAATTTATCACAACAGAAATCAAAATCCTAAACATTTCGATTCGACATACTTTTAATACCTAGTCAATCTTGATGTTGCCAATGCGCGTAACCGAACGGATATCTTACAGTTCTCACACTTTTGTTGTTTTTGTGTAGAAAAGGAAATTTGTGAGAAGTATCCATCCCATGTGTATTGGTGTACATATATTATGTATGTTGTGTTGTGTGTGCGTGGTGATTTGTGTTATATGCTGATAGAAAGAAACTAATTATATGAGTGTATTTTGACGATGAAACTTACATAAATGTGAAAAAACGTTGTGTTTTGTGTTATCAAGTGGTAGTGAATCCGTCAGGAGGCGGTAATCATGTACGTTTGCTTGCTATTTGTGGATTCTGGATCTCGTCTCGTCGATGTACCATAAACAAAAATGTCAGCGATCCCGATTTTTTGTTTCTTGTCGCATACCCATCGTTATACCTTAATTAGATCACACGAATGATATAAATTATTGTTAGACGCTTTCTCTGACGATGTCGTCTCGTCCAAACGGCGTGCCTTTGGCAATAAATCGGCCATAATAAGCGTGCGTTTGGTGTGCTTCGCGCCCGTCTACATCCGACCTATCTCATTGTTTATGTATGGAAAGTAAACCTGGAATTTTTATGGCGTTTACGGTGTATTCTCGTATTAATTAAATATCTGGATATAATCAGGGCCTGGCAGCGGCCGGCCGCAGTGCAGGTCCGTGGGGCGCCGCTAGCGTCTTCCGTCCAAGGTTCTTTGAGATCTCTATTTATAATAATTTCTCGATCGTTTGCTGCAGCATAATGACATTCTTGTAATGAAGTGCCGCGCCGTGGATTTGTGGGACATGTGCCAATTATTTCGCCTGTGACGAAATCCTCGCCGCTGGTTGTGTTGTATGTATACAACGACCTTACACTTCTGTTTACATGATCCTATCAATGGTAACCTTTTATTATTCTTTTATAATTATAATTTCTTGTTTGCAAACTTGTTATGCAAATTTTTAACTACAAATACAGTACATCTTTTATATTAAAAACCATACTTTTTTTACACCTCCAAATATTAAACAGTTTATTTATTAACCTAAAGCAGGTTAGTAGTTGTTAATTTATATGTTTTTCTTCAATATTATTGTGGCTTGGTTAAAAATGATTTTTTGCTACACTATAGTTTATTACTTTTAAACATGGTTAATTCAGTCATTTAAGTACTTGACCTATGTAACTAGTTTTTAAATACATCTTTATGATTTGTGTAATTTAGAATATATATATATATATATATATATATATATATATATATATATATATATAATATATATATAACATAAAATGTATTTCTGTATTTAAACAATAATTGTCTATTTCTACCATTAGCAATTTAAAATTTAACAAAGAGTCCTTGTTTACAATTTCGTGAGAAAATATATTATTGATAAAAATTGCAGAAGTTTATCTATTTTAAATATATTTCATGATTATTGAGCTTGAAATTATGAATTGACCCATCATTGATTTCATTAACTGTAATTAAATTTTACCATAAAATTAACATCAGATAGAAATATTATTTGAAAAACTTTTTTAGATGAAAAATATTAAATTTGAGATCACTTATTTTGCTTTATTTTAACAATAATTAATATTTTAACAATAATTATTGTTAAAATAAAGCAAAATTAACTGCGAGAGTAGTCTGTATTTGTATTTATAAAATTTTAAAATGATAAATTATTATTAAAGGTAATAATATAAGATTACATATAATTAGTATGTTGTTTCTTGCTGGTACATGAACTAGATTTATTTCTTTTTCGTGCCTATAATATCACAATCTCCTCTTTTTTCGATCAAAGTCATTTTTTCTCTTAATTATTCACTATCTAAGCATAAACTGATAAAGCATCTTTCAGATGTCATTGGTGAATTCATGAAAATGCTATAAAGGAAAGAAGAAGTACATGAACTAGATGTGAAGGAAATATCACATATGTCAATAACTCTGTCCGTTATTCACCATACTCATATAGTGGGATATAAAATTAGTAATTGCTTGTTGTATATATTTTTTTATTTCTCCTGTGGTGAACGTTTGTTACAAATGTTTATGGCAATTTTTTAAGTCAACATACCCGTTGTTATTTTTATAACATTTTCCCATTATTGTGACAAATTGAAAAAATCTATGAGTTTATTAGATCCATCTGCTTCAATATTTGCTTATAATTTGTCCATTTTTATGATGAAATATTCCGGAACACATTATTACCTTCATCAAATTACAAAGTGTGATAAGTATCTACAAAATCCTCAAGGTAGTAGCCATAATTATAATCTTTAATATATTTTAAATCCGTTTCTTTTTACTTCCAAATATGTAGAGTAATTGATATTTATTTAGGCCAATTTTTAACAGAGGACTTCCTCAGCACTGCTTTTCTAAATGAAATAAGTTTATAAATACTTGATGACCTTTCATCATTCCTTACCTTGTCACCATCTGAAAATATTAAAGAAATAAAAAAAATATATTTTTTGGACAATAACTTTAAATCCTCTATATGTTTAAACTAGTTAAAATGGAATGAAATTGGAACCGGTTGATAAATGCTAGAAAATTGAAACTGAATTTTGACCTTAATTTTATTTAACAGATCAACAAAATATATGTTATTAAGTAATATAAATTTATAGAAATATAATTATGTTTCTATATTTTGAACAGTTTTAATTTGTCTGCAGTCAAGTTGGCGAAGGCACGTAGGGGTATGATCAAGGAGAAGGAGAAGGGCGGGGGCGCCCGCATTAAGGACGAACCCAACGATCCAGCTGAACCAGGTATGAAATATTTTATAATGCAACTTCAAAATTTAAACATAGGTTCACATAATTATTTCATGTCTGTTTAAAAGTAGAGTAAACAAGCATTGACTGAATTAAGAAAAAAAAAAGGAGTAATGCACAACTTTATTATTGGATTAGTAGAAATTATTGAATAATGGCAAAATCCACATCGATTTGGTAAAAGCCACATTGTACTAATTCAAAGCCGCTTTTACTATATGCTATGATTTTGGATTTGTTCTATATTTGCTCAGTATGGCAAATAAACCTATATGTAGCATATAAATTATGATTATGACATATCTTTAAAAAAATATTTCTTATACTAATAAAACATTTGTGTTAAATTGAATGTAATGCTAATGGTTACATTATAGAATACCTGTTAATCAATTTTCTTTGAATTTTAACTTATATATATATATATATATATATAATACAAATTTAATTATTGCAGAAGTATCTTTAAAAGTTACTTGTATTGTAGTAGATTCACGGCTGCACTCAGAAACCCCAATTAGCATATAAATAGCATGAAAGGCTTCCATTTGAAAAGTTGGTTTTAGAGTGACCTCCATGGTTCATAGTATTGTTTATGTGATATCTGTCAATGAAATTTTAATAACACATACTGTGTCGTGTATAAAATTTTTACATGAGATGACATTTATATAAATTGAAGAACATATGTTATGGAAAAAGATAGCACTATATGTAATAGCAATTTAATTAAACCAATTGGCCTAATTTGAGAGCCTCATTTTGTATATAATATCATTGATATCTGTTGTTAGAAAATGCATAATATATTTAGATTTTATGGTGCAATTAAATTTATAGTTTAAAGATATTGCTAATTTATATACCTGAATTTAATTAGAAATATTCATCAAAAGTAGTAGTAGTTAGTAGTGCCTGTAGAAATAACGGTTTTTATATTGTGGCATCTTACATCGTGACGCCCTACTCATAAGGTAAAGTACCTTGGGGACCGAGCTTTGCTCGGTTTTTTTTATAAATTATGTATTTTGGAAATAAAAAAAATGATCTGGTATAGAAAAAAAGTAAAAAAATAAGTGTGTAAATGGTCGTGATACGAACCACAGCTGTCTGTTATATATATATATATATATATATATACAGCGTGTCGTTACCATCGCGACAATAAATGAACACACGTCTAACGCAACTTGCCAATAATCATAAAAAAATATTAACGTTAAAATTCCATAATTAAAAAAAATATTTTTCAAACAAACCTATTAAGTAAAAAAGAAACAAAACTTGTAACATCCTATACAACAACAACTGACTGATTCATGCATTCAGAGACTTTTTCATTCGTTGCCACGGCGTCGCATTACAAGCCTCTCCTTCTAATAGTATGTTTTGTCTCTTTTAAATTCATTCAACCCATTCATATGCTTTACAAATGAACTTTACGTTACAGTTTTATACGTAAGGATGTTCTAAAATTCTTTGTTTTGGAAAATAACTCTGTAAATATTGATGTTTAAAGAATGTAAATTGATATAATTTTAAAAAGTTATCCTCCATATGTGTGTTCATTTATTGTCGCGTTGGTAACGACACGCTGTATATACAAGAATTGCTCGTTTAAAGGATAAGATACTATGTAATTAGTGCTCAGTATAGTTAAGAGATGCCGGTGCATTCAATTTTAAAAACTTATCGTAGCCGTAACATTTTCATTCGTGGGATAGATCCTAGGATTGAATTTATTATAATAAAATACTTATCATCTTTACATTTCTGCAGATTCGCTTAATGCGCGTAATGACTTATTTATTAGGTGCCTTCTCGCTTTCGGCTTGCGTTCGTTTTCGTTTTTTCGAAATAAAATAGGGATTAAGAATCTTATATATTTTTATATTGTAGAAGCAAGCATTTTCTATTGTATGCTCCCTTCACGATGAGCGAGCCAACACTATTACACTTACAGCCGTTTTCAAAGTTTTCTCTGTAGATCTTCTGTTAGTTTCAATCTGTAGATTTGGATACTTACTAATAATAGGTATTTGACATTAGCTCCATAATACTTTGTCAAAATTATACTAAGATATAACATATAACAGGTAGATAAATATTGAAAACGGCCATAAGAATTTTTGAGTTTAGTTAAATAGAATAGAAACAGTACTAGATATTTTTCATCCCTCAAAACTAGGTGATTTTTATTTGGTAATAAACTTCATAACCGTCATTGGTCTTATCACGATGTATCGTAAAGAACAAAATTTGGAAAACGAATCATTAATTTAATACATAATCGGTTATGGTTCATTATTCGTTTCGACTTGTCTAAAATTATTTTTAACCTAAAATATTAAAATAACAAGCTGTTATTACGGTCACAAGAAATATTTATAAAACTAAAACAACACCATTCATTATAAATATTCATGTTTATACTATTACATGGTTGGTGGTTTAAAAATAGTTTAGTTTTTTTTGTTGTACGGAATAAATTATTTGTTAATAACAAATATTAGTACTTAATACGTATGTTTCAAGTATGTTGACCTCGTCATTAGGCTACATTCCATCTGAATAATTTGATCTTCTTAAAGCCATTAGGCGATATAAAAGAAATCATGGCAATGTGCTGCAACGGTGAAAGCAAACCATGTCATCGATACATGTTATCAATTATTCTTACTTTGGTTAACGTATTTACATCGATGCTTTATTGATTGTAAAGCTAATGGCTTGTGCTGGAAAAATGTTACGGCGAGTTAAATGGCACGCGCTTAAACGTTTAAGTCACACCGTGTTCAGCGAGTGGGCGGTTTAGATTTGACTGCGCGGTTGTCGGTTTGGGTTCGATTTTGTGTATATTATCGTCAGGTTGCGGTTTGTAATAAACCAAGTACGAGCGCGAAAGGTTTGATAACAATAATATGACTAGCTGTGCCCCGCGACTTCGTCCGCGTGGAATATATTAATAAAAATAAATAGGATTTCTAAAATAAAATTAGCCTAAGTTACTCCTTATTACATCAGGTATTTGCCAGTGAAAGCCCATCAAAATCGGTCCGGCCGTTTAAGAGATTTGCCGGAACAAACAGACAGACAAAAATTGTAAAAAATGTTATTTTACCATATGTACCTTGTATACATAGATCCATATGCATTTAGTTAAAATCGATTATTTGAATATTATTATTTGAATATTACAAACAGACACTCCAATTTTATTTATCTGTATAGATGACTCGGTAGCGCAGTTCTAAGCTTAAGGCTTAGGCGCCGGTAGTCGTGAGTTCGGTTCCGAACACGTGACAAGTATGTGAGTCATACAAACAATTGTCCCTGATCTGGATGTTACATACATCGTGATTACACATACATTAAACGACTTTACAATACATTTTACATTTACATACAGTGAGAGCTATGTTTTAGAAAAAAATGCCCAAACGTGTGTATTTATACTCTTTTTACATACAAAGCTTAAGTTGCTATAAACATGGCTGTATTTTTGTTGATGTGTCACCATGGTGAAACACACCAGGAGAACATTGTTAAATTTAACCTTAAATTATGCGCACGATGTCAAACACAATTAGATTCCAATTACGTACGTTACAACAATTGTGTAGGTAATACTGGACCGTCGCAAAACGTGAGCGGTTCTTTAATATGTTTTTGTCATTTATGAAGTAACTTTGAAAGACGTCCTTTAAAAGGCTTATATATTGTAATCTAAATGATCTTTCAAAGTGTTACTATCGTATACTATAAAACGGTTACGGTGTTAGGGCCACGCAGCAGCCTCGGCTGTTGCACGAATGGGCAGGCTCGTCCGGGTAAGTACCACGACCTCACAGAAGACCGGCGTAAAGTGGAAGTATAATACTTTCGCGTTTCGTCTGGTGAGTGAGGTGGCCGGAGCCCAATTTCCAAAAAGGTTGTCAACGCATCTGCATACCCTCGGCTGTAGCAGATGTCCATGGGCGGCGGTATTCATTTAACATCAGGTTAAACGTCTGCTCGCTTGGCAACTTTTCACATAAAAAAGTATGTGTGTATTTATGAACTCACGTAAGAAGCTATACTTCTTTGGCGTAAAGACGTTAATAGCAATTGATAACGGTTTATTTTAATTATTTGGAATTATTGGTAAATGTCAGTTGTTATTGGTTAGCAAGCACCATGCGTTTTTGAGGGTTGGTGTGCGCGCTTATCTTGAAAATGTTACAATAAATGTTAAGTTAAGGCAAGGCTGAGAAGCTTCTCAGCTGCTACCTCTACTATCCGAACGGCTATATTGCCGTTTACGATGAGATGGCATAACCGTCGAAACATCAAGCTGGTCGGTCAATGGTAAAAAATCCTATCCATTCGAATATTATCAATTATAATGAGTAACAATTTTGTTACGGATGTTTTTCGGGCCGGTTCATTGAGCCTCACCACTTACCTGTCCAGTTATTGATAATAGTTCCGTTATTTATAATGTTACATTAAAACGGCTGTATAATTCACTGCAGGGCGGATAGAAAAAGGAATACTTATGAAATAAATGAACGGCAGTTCAACATAAAGGAAGGATAAAATTATATATATATATATATATATATATATATATATATATATATATATATATATATATTAAGTGGTTTATATCAGAGAAAATGTTACATTTTTTTATTTGATTTCGACCTCATTCAGAGACATCATCGACCCTACAGTGGCATTAAATTGAAAACAATTAATTTGAAATTAAAAATTTGCGAAGATTTTTCGCGACGGGCACACAGGTTTGTTTCGGTTCGATAATATTACTAAAAAAGCAGAAAGATAACCTTACTATTTGTTATGTGAACGGGACTTGTACACTACAAGGCAAATCCCGCTTGTTTTTTGTTCTCGTTTAACCATTTGTTTTTTTAAAAATTGTTTAACAAGTTTATAACAATTTTTCCTTATTTATTGCATTTAACGTAATAACATACCATTCATAGATACATGTTCCATATAACCTCGAAGTAATGATTTACAACAATAAAACAATTGAAACACTAAACTATGGACCACGCGTAGTTCCTCTACTTACGCGAACGCTTTACACGATGAGTGAAACTAGTTTTCAATGCTTTTTATATTGTAATGCGGTACCCGCGATGAACGGAGCATTAACATAATATCTAATTCGTCGATATAATATATCTTGAGGATTGTTATTATTGTTTGCGACGGTACACGAAAGAGAATTTAAGAATGTTCTCCTGTTCTTACGAAAGACTAGGTAAACTAGCCGGCTGGCTTGTTTTTGTGGTTTTTTGGCGTGAACTGGAAGTTTTATACTTCTGCGTTACATCTGGCGAGTGCTAGCCAGGGCCCACTTCATTAACAAGGTGGCAACGCATCTGCGACCCTAAGGGTGTTGCAAATGTCCATGGACGGCCGTTACCGCTTAACATCAGCTGAGCCGCCAGCTCGCCTGTCACCTTCTCACCTAAGAATAAAGTGTCTCCCAGTGCCAAATTAACCACGTGGAAAGAGTAGCAATTGCTACGGGCCTCACTTCAAAGGGGGCCCCGCATATTTAAGCCCACTAATCTCTGCCTGAGCCATAATATTTTTGAGTGCTACTTATAAAAAATATACTTTCGACTATGGTGGTCAAGAGACTTAAACGTGATCACCATATTTAATTGGTAGGGGCGGCCTTAGCTAGCCCGCCAGAAAAGCCATAAAACATCACGCAACAAATTCGCTTATGGTCTAACGACCGATTGCAAATTTACCAAAAAAAAAAACTTATAAAATATGTTAGAGTTGTATTGTGTTTTTACCAATTTATATTTAATTAATTCTGACTAACTAACTATAGCAGATCAAGGGCTGTTTGAAAGAATTTGCTACGGGCACTGCGCTTGCTAAATACGACACTTCTGTCTCCGGGTATTTTGTAAGAACGTGATGCCCGAGCCGGCCTATTCTCTCGTGGCCTTAACACGCGCCGAGCAAACCGCCAAACCTCGGCCACCGCGTGAACGTTGCCAACCCCTGCCCAGGACATGGCTCCCGACCGCCGTCCGCGTCGCTCCCGACGCCGGCGGCGCTGAAGAAGGAGCCCGAGGAGCCCGCGCACAGGGTCAAGCTGGAGCCGCACACGCAGGGCGCCGACGAAGCGAACCCGGAACTCGGCGTGGACGGCATAAAGACCGAGATCGACGGCCTCATGGACAGCGACGGTGAGTGACGTTGCGTCTTAATGTCTTACACCTAACTTTTTTTTCCTATTTTGTTTTATATTTGCTACCATCACATTATTATATGTATATAAGAATATTTGTATGTATGTATATACAGGGAGGCTTTTCTATGTGTATCCATTTTTTTCATTAATTTCCACACATAACTAGTGTTATATAAAAAATGATAAATATTTAAAATCAATCGTAATAACATTCATTTGAACTTATCTCAGAAAGTGCGTGAGAACACGCACACAAATTCGTTTCAAAAGTATACGACGCATTTATGAATCAATACCGCATTGTCAACAAGTTCTGCTTTTTAGGGAATAGAATGGCAATTTTTGTTTGTTTTTAATTCAATAAACGATAATACTACCGAGGCTGAACTTCCTGTGTGAATTTGGACACCTTTATAAAAGCCACCCTATATATATGTATATAAGAATATTTGTATCTATTTATATGTGTATAGTTAGACAGACGACATTATAAGAGTCGCGAGTAACCGGTGGATGCAAATGGCAAAATGTCGTTCGTTGTGGCGTTCTAAGGGGGAGACCTATGTTCAACATCTTGCGGCCGATGATGATGATGATGATATATAGTTATATATTAACATATTTTAATTTGTAAATATGTGTATATTTTAAGTAGTTTATTTTATACAGTCCTTTTTGTATATTAAGTATTTTTTACTCTTTTGGTTGATTGTTTTCTTATTTTGGTTAGTTTTATTATTGCACCTGCCTAAAGATCTCACCACACGATAGGTTGACTGGCAGAGAATGAAAATTAACGACGCCTATTGTGTTCCGTATTAAAGGAAACGCAATAAATACTAAATAAATAAAAAAATAAAAAATAACTAGCGACACCCGCCGGCTTCGCAGGGGGGCAATGTATTATGCATATAAATCTTCCTCTTGAATAACTATCTAGTAAAAAAAACGCATCTAGATCTGGAGCGTATTTTTAAAGTTCTAAGCATACATGTGGACAGACAGATAGCGAGCGGTACGGCTTTATTTTATACTATGTAGTGATATGTAAAAGTAATGTAAAGTTACAGCCTCTACATATACCACTGCTGGGCAAAAGCCTCTGTAAAGCCTTCAGAGGGTATTAGTGCATAGTTCACCATGTGGCCCTTTATTTTTTTTTGTTATGCACAATATATTCATTGTTGCTTAGCTTCTTTAGGAGGAACATCGCGGAGGTTTTAGTCGATGCGAGTTCGACATTACCTACCCTACCCTCCCGAGGGCGGGTATGCGTAGGCATTTAACGCACTATAGGTACCTCACACCTCCCCACGTTAACAAAAATAGGCTGCACTATAGGTACCTAATGTATTTAAATGAATAGGCTTGTGTATCCGCCTGGGCGTTAAGGCGTCAAGGGAGACCTGCACTCTTGAACTTCAACTTGAACTCTTTAAATATAACTGTTTAAATAGCTCGGTGAACTTTCGACTCCAAGGGCTTGGAAGCCGGTGTGGAAGTGGTAAATAAGAGTGGAATAAAGCACTGATCAATTTAATTTAAATGCATAGTATTGTTTGTACTTATCGCATTTGAAATGAATTTAGTGGTGATATTCATTTGAATTACGTTAATATTAAGTATTTAATGTGTAACAGTCAGAAGTTCTGCATTGCCAGTTTTCGTTTCGCAGTAAACCTCATTGCAACCGGGAAAAATTGCTTCGTAACGGGTTTCAATTATTGCGTCGCAAAACAAATAAGTTCAAAATCTAATAATTTTTCCAATGTTATAATAATCTGTTCCATTAAACTTTTGTTTCTTATTTTATATGGGTATTGATGCTCTATTCGTGAAACTAATGCAACGTCGTTACCAAGACTCAACGTAATCTGCTAAAGTACTAGATTTTTTTTAAAACAAAAACGCAATGTAATATTACACTCACTATACAGTTGTTCCCTTATGTATCTCCGGAGTTCAATGACAATGAATTGATTTTATTTTATGTGAGAAGGTGGCAAACAAGCTGGCAGTTCACCTGATGTTAAGTGATAACCGCCGCCCATGGACATTTGGAAGACGCGTAGCATTTCAGATGCGTTGCGAACTTTTAATAAACTCGGCTCCGGTTACCTCACTGACCAGACGAAATGCAGATGATATGTAACACTTCTACTTCATACCGGTTTAGGTCGTGATACTTCCCCGGACGGACCTGCCCATTTATGCAACAACGAAGACTGCTGCATGGCCGTACCACAGTGAAAATGCGATCACATGGTCTAAACTGAACCCAATTCAAAAAGAATAATAAATTTCGTTACTTAACGCGCAAGTTTGTATGTATAGATGGATGTTTGTTACTCTTTCACGCAAAAACTACTGAAAAGATTTTAGTGAAATTTTGCAATAATATAACTTATATATCAGAATAACACATAGTCTATAATTTATAAAGATATTGTGTGAATTGTCCAAAATATAGGTAATGATAAGTTTCAACTAAGTAGGAAAAAACAACCATTTGCGAGATATTCTAGTGTATAATAAAAAACTCATTGTTAATTCCTTCATTGGAGGTTCCTTTAGAGTTCCGTACCCAAAGGTTACAATTGGACCCTATTACTAAGACTCCCCTGTCTGTCTGTATGTCCGACTGTCCGTCTGTCACCAGACTGTACGGTATCTCATGAACCCATTTTCACAGATGATGTATTTCCGTTGCCGCTATAACAACAAATACTATAAGACAGAATAAATAAGTATTAAATTGGGGCTTCCATACAAAAGACATTTTTTTTTGCCGTTTTTATAGATTATGGAACTGAACCCATAGTGCGCGAGTCTGACGCGCTCCTGGCCGGTTTTTTTTAATATATCGAACATAAAATGCTAAAGAAATTACGTAATATACAAATATTTAACAGTTTTTCCATCTCTTATATTTCGGTAGGTGAACTTTATCGTTTAAAAGATAACACACAAACTGGATGACGGGGGTACATAAATTTACAATTAAAAGCGAGAGAATACACGGTAGCATCTTTTTTTTTTTATAAATAAAGCTAAATCGATGTTTTTAAAGATTTCATAAGCTAAGTGTACAATTATTAGGAAGCAATAGTTCATTACATGGCGAAATCTCCTATATATCATAAAGCGTTAGGCCATTACACAAGACAGTCATAAGATTTGTCATGCGAGAAGGTGATTCAACTGATGTTAACTAAATACCGTCGTCCGTGGACATTTACAACGCCTGATGGCTCACTGATGCATTGCCACCCTTAAAAATCTGGTTCCCCCAACCAAATGGAACGCGAAAGTTTAATACTCTCACTTCACACTGGCTGTGGTACCTCAATTTTTGAAAAACAAAATGTAAAAAGTTGGCTAAAAGTCTCTGTAGGACGCGCCGTTAATATTGTGAATTCACCCGCTTATAGAAAAGAAAACAAATATGCAACGTACGCAACTGCTCTTGTGGAGGGAAATGTCTTTGAAGTTGAAACACATTTAGTGTAAAATTGTATCTAACACCCGTGCGCTCTCATTTTTCTGAAGTAAGAAATTAATTAAGCCATATTTTCATTGCGCGCAAAGTTGAAGGAACACTAATGGCGTAGTATTTGTATGTAGTTTTTATATTTTGAACAAGCGTATTCATTAGAAATAATTATATTTATATCTTATGAACCCATTAATATATCTAAATATATCAAAAACCGGCCAAGTGCGAGTGGAACTCGTGCACGAAGGGTTCCGTGTCGTTATCTATAAAAACGGCAAAAAAACATATGTCTGTTTTATGGGAGCCTCACTTAAATATGATTTATTCTGTTTTTTAGTATTTGTTGTTATAGCGTCGACAGAAATAAGTCATCTGTGAAAATTTCAAATTTCTAACCACCACTGTTCATGAGATACAGCCTGGTGACAGGCGCACAGACAGACATACAGACAGCGGAGTCTTAGTGGTAAGTTCCTGTTTTACCATTAGTACGGAACCCTAAAAATGAAAAATTAAATTACAATTATTTTTTTAAAACTTTTGAACCCTATAACTTTCACTCAAATATGTTGAATCTTTCCGGAACCTAATCGAGATAAACGGACAAACAAAAAATTCTTCAAAAGTTTATCGACGAAAGCATCAAGTCTAAACAGCTTGTGCTGTTGCGACGAATTGTGTGGACAGGGGTAGAGTACGCTTAATAGGAGACCGGCGTGAAGTTGCGCGTATCGTCTGGCGAGTGAGGTAACCGGGGCCCACTTTTTCAAATGTGTTGTTTGCAACGCCTCAGTTATTGTAAATGTCCATTGGTGGCGGTGATCATTTAACAACAGGTGTAACGACTGCTCTCTTGCTAACTCTTCAAGCAAAAAAACGTTAAGTATAATAATTTACGTAAGAATATTTAGTATTTTTTACGAAAGCTTTGGCATTTGTTTTGAATTATTGGATTTGATTATTTATACAATTCACTATTAAATTACAAACAGATAAATAATAATTGGTAAAATTGGATATAATATAATCCTATATTCCTCATTTTTTTTTTCGTCAAAACCAGTTTGGTTTTTTCTACATTGCTTTGGTTAACAAAATACGAGACCTCTTAACCGACTTTTTTAAGTAGATAATATTTAGTCTAATGTGTCATTGTCATCAACGCATATTTGAGTGTCGCGTACTCGGATTTCAATGTCAGGTTAGGTCGCTTGTAATTTAATACATTTATATAGAACCGTCTGAAATATTCATGAATATTTAATACTTTCAGAGATAAAAGTCAACTTTGATCATATCTATGCCGCCATCCTATTATTTGGTACTTTAATAGCGTTATTCCTCTCGAAGTAAAACAGTTATATCCTACAAAAAGCTTAAGTTTTTAAAAGAATCCTGTTAGTTGATCGCACAAATAACCTATCTACATTTCATTACAATTCGTTCATTGCGGTACGAGCAATAAACAAAGCACAAGAAAAAACCAGCTGCGAGTCAAAGTTTACACCAATCTTTATATTCAAAGCAGTTAAATAATCGTATAACATTTTCGTAACAGTCTTTATAAGACATGATCCATTTGTCCTTGGAATTATAAATATGTCGGTAGACATTGATTGTTTTAATAAGTCGTTTTAATCGCAATGTTTGACGTTTTAGGAAAAAAAGAGGAAAATAATCTAATTGGAGATTGACATTTTTTTTTTGTTGATATCAATAAATCGGAGGAGTCTTGGTGACAGTCGCTTCACTTCAACGAAAGCAGTAGACGTGTGTTTATCCAATAAATAGAATTGAATGCTTGTGTGTTTATCCATAATACGTAATACTTAGTAAATATATACAATGCTTATATAAGTAAACTAGCTGCTGCCCGCGACTACGTCTGCGTAGAGGGGTGAAAATTTAGGGTTGTATGTATTTTTATATGCTGTGTCATAAAAAATAAAACCAAAAAATTTTGCCTAAAAAATAAAAAAAAATTTAGGGGTGGACTACCCTTAACATTTAGGGGGATGAAAAATAGATGTTGGCCGATTCTCAGACCTACTGAATACGCATATAAAATTTGGTAAAAATCGGTCGAGCCGTTTCGGAGGAGTTCAAGTTCGAACCCCGTGACACGAGAATTTTATATATTAGATTAGTTGTATAGATAGAAGATATTATGTTGGAAAGCGCTCGCTTTTTTAACATAATATCTTCAAACTTTTACGTTTGAAGAAAAACGTAAAGTAAAAGTTTGGCGAGAATAGAAAAATATACAAAGAGAATCTTTGTATATTTTTATTTTATGAAATAAAAAAAATGTATCTGATAAAGCGTATAATCAATTGCACTTACTCCACGTTTCAGGCGACCCCACAAAATCACCGTCCTGCGATATGGGCGGCCCGGGTTCCTTGAAATCGGAACGTCTCTCATCAGACTCCAACGACATCCTGGACCCGCAGACCGGCCTTAGAGGTTCAACGGGGAACCTGCAGGTAAAAAAAGTAATACACCTTCAACCTTCTACGCATGCGGCATGTATTTGGAGTGTAGCTTAGTTGCCTAGTGAGGAGAAACGGCCTTAAGGTGAAATAGATAAGGTCGCATTTCGTAATTATCTAAGTAAACATATTTATACCTAATTACCTAACGTATTATTGTATTTGAGTGTACATGCAATAGAGGTGTGAGAGAATGTTAATTATAATCACTAATTATGGAATTATGCTTATATTGACAACAATAATATATAGTTATTTAGTTAGTTTAGTTATATATGTATAGTTTATTTATGTATATACGGATTTTATGGCTATACATCTTTTATGCGTTGGAATGTTCAAATACACCCATATTATTTAATATACCCATATTTTTGTGTGTGTTGATTTTTAATGAAGGATTCACAAACATCAAAACCAACGGGATGAACTGCTAGTTAACAAAGTTACCAAGTAACTCTTGTAAACGGTGTTTTAATTAGCTTTAAAAATGCTAGCTCTAATGCTAAGCTGCCTCTATCTAATAGAGCCAACAATATAATCCATAAATAAACATTGCATCTAACATATAACAAAACTGACTAGTTTTAGTTTTGAAACGAGCATGGTTATTCAAACCAAATAATAATACCAGACGAAGTCGATGTCTATATTTTTATTTAATTTCAGACATCGGAGTTCAAGGTTTGTTTATTGTTTCCAATGTCTTTGAAACAGTTCCCACATTAAAATCGTGCAGAGAAATTTGAGTTCATTTATCTAAGTTGACGGTCGATGAGGTACTTAGTGTCAGGGCTTCCTTGAGTTATCAACTTTGGCCCTCCCAGTTCCCGACTCCTAATATTGACCAGGGCATTGCATTCACAAATGAGAAGCGGTGTCTTCTCGTCATCACCGTACAGAATGGGCTCTCCGACAGACCCATTATGTTTAGATACTTATTTAACTCACAATTTCAATTCAATTCCCCGTGAGTATACTTACCACTCGACCGGTTCAGTTTAAGTCGGTTGCAAATTTGACCCAGAAGCCCTGTATCATCTGTTTTGAATGAGTTATACCATTGATTCGTAAATATCTAAGTTATTACTGCACTCGAGACGAAAAAGACAACTTTTTTAATGTGAGAAGGTGGCAATCTAGATGGCGGTTCACCTGATTATACGTTATAATAACCGCACATAGACATTCGCAACACCGTTTAATAATGTGGGGCCTGGGCACCCCACTCACCAGGCGAAACGCGGAAGTATATCACTTCCGCTTCACGCTGGTCCTCTGTGAGGTCGTGGTATTCCGGACGGACCTGCCCGTTCGTGCAACAGCCGAAGCTGTTACGTAGCCCTGCCAAATTCTTAAATATGTATCTCAGAGGTAAACATCATTATGTGACAAAACACACAGGAGAGGCAAAGATGCGTGAGTTGATTCTAGAATGTATTATGGATTATGATGTCATATACGATTGGATATTTTATTAATTAGGCGTCGTATTGCTTTATAGTATTGTGTAGAACTTGTTCTTGCGATTTTAATGGTGTAAGAGAAATAATTTAGAAAAATGTGGAGTATTGTATGTATGCCTCTGAGGTGCAGAAATATGCAACTGATCGTAAGCACGACTGTACAGCAGGACGGGAACCAGAACTGCCGCAACCCCGGCGGCGAGGGCCTCAACTCGTGCCGCATGGGCGGCGGTCCCATGGGCGGAGTCTCCATGGGCCCCATGTCCAGCGAGGCGCAGACCCTGCCGGCGAACGTGATCAGCAAGCAGGCCGGCAGCATGGAGGTAGTGACGTTGCGTGCTGTTTAAAAACACGTCTGTGTGCGTGCGTGCGCGCGCGCGCACGCGTGTGAGTGTGTGTGTGTGTGTGTGTGTGTGTGTGTGTGTGTGTGTGTGTGTGTGTGTGTGTGTGTGTGTGTGTACTTGTGTACGCACGTAAGAAGTTATGCTTCGATGTGCACTCATGTACGCTAGTGAGAGATTATACTTCGAACACATTTTGTACACAACGTTTCATTTAATTAACCTATTGAAGCAAACATCTGTCTGGAAAATTGGCCTTTTGCGATTGAGATTAAAGAGGTCCAGACGCAACTAAGACACTTAAATAACGTTATCCTACAATTTTTGAACTTGTACTATGAAGTCACACCGGTAAAGTGATCATATTTAAAAATATTTGTTGAACTGATGTCTCAACTTGAGTAACCAGTTCCATTGACGGACAGTATTCGCATTAATATGATGCGTTCGCCATTTCTGACAGCAGAGAGAAATATAAAGTATTGCATTAAATGTTTATCTGATTCTCGAAGTACTGTAAAACACCAACGCGTAGGCAACAGAAAGCGTTATGTGATATCTTTACTTTAGAGCGTAATTTGCATGCATTTATTCCGCCTTTTAAGGGCGAATCCGGTGTATAAATTTATACTGACGTCATCGTAGAAGCAACTAAGTACGACGTCAAATTGAGATTTAGTTTGAAAACAAAAAAAAAACATCCACACAGTCTGTTGAGGGAAAGTGCATGTTTTGCGATTGACATATAGATGTCATTACATAGTCGGTAGTGAATCAGCCAGTAGTTTTTAGTCATCATTGCTCAATAGTTAATTTAAAGCCAAAGTTTAATGATAGCAAGAAGGTCGTTATTTTTTTTAAAAAGTTCTTAAATTTAAACTTATTGGCAGCCCATAAATATTTGTTATAATGGGATTTATTTTCTATGACACTCGTAGGATATAAGTGATTGTTATTAAATTAAATATGGTAATACCTATGAATGCTAAAACTAATACTCCTGTAGGCGATGGGCGTACATTTGTGCAGTCAATTAAAGAACGAAGTCAAGTATTTCAATTCTGAAAGAACATCGAACAATCCAACCCATGCATGGTCACAAATAATCTTATTCTATATATATAAGAAAAAAAAAAGTCGTAATGACATTATTAGTAAGAATTAGGATGGATCTGTGTGTGTAAAACGCTCTTTCGACACAGTATAATGATGGCCAATAGTAAAGGCAGTATTTGTTATTTTTTAAAACGTTAAAATATAATAGTTCCACTGCCACGGGAGTTTTCAGTAACATCAAATTCACGGTCACCCGTATCACAAAAATATTTGACAAGATTTGGTGGTCACAACACCATTCAGCTGTCCGTGCATTCGATTTGTGATTAAAATCTTGCGTAGATAAGACCACAACAAATAATGAAACGTGATAAAATCCGTTAAATATAGTTTCAAAACATCTAATTTTGGTAACAAGAGTATGTTTACACTTACCTTGTCTGTTATATAACGCAGGTGAGATATCACCCCGTGCGTCTGGGAATTCCATTATCTATATGATCTATAACCCTACTTTCACCTAGCAGCAGAGCCAGATTTTCGTCTTCTCAACGCTGCTGGCGAATAAAAGCGCGGAGGCGGTGATATCGGGCCAGCACCATTCGATAATCGCCTACCACTGCGCCCAACCCAACACTAAGAAGTATCTCGAGGTAATGTCTAATTCACTCCTATATTTATTTATTTTTTTTTTATGTGAAAAGTTGTCAAACGAGCAGACGGTTCACCTGATGTTAAGTGAATACCGCCGCCCATAGACATCTGCTACAACCCGAGGGTTGCAGATGCGTTGACAACCTTTTGAAAATTGGGATCCGGTCACCTCACTCACCAGACGAAACGCGAAAGTATTATACTTTCACTTTACGCCGGTCTTCTGTGAGGTCGTGGTACTTACCCGGACGAGCCTGCCCATTCATGAAACAGCCGAGGCTGCTGCGTGGCCCTACCACCGTCGAAAATTATTATTTATATAATTAAATTGTTATTATAATTATAATTAAATATTATTATTATAATTAAATTGCAATAAAGCAGGTAATCTGGTTGCACATTTAGTGGTTATATGAAGGTATAAGTAAGAATAAACGTTATTTTGTTGAAATACGTTTTGATAATCATAGAGTGTAGACATAATAAATATGCAATCTATTTAATCATAATTCTAATTTACAAGTGAAAGAAAGCTTTGTGTGACCCTCAGATAATGCCTCACAAATAACTTTGTCTGTGATGAAGTTTAAATAACGAATAATTTTTTTTTATGACTAACATTATGAATTTACAGAAACATCCATTGAAAATTGGCCAGTTCAACAAACAGAGCCCCGCTCAATGGCTAAACAATCTCGCGATGGCGAAAAACCGCGGAGGCCTGAGGGGCGGGCCCAACATGATGGGTGGACCCAACCAAATGGGCCACATGATGGGCGGCCCCATGGGGCCGAATATGGGCCCTATGGGCCACGCCGGCATGGGGCACATGGGCCCCAATATGATGGGCCCCAGTCGCATGGTGGGCCCCGGGAACCAGATGATGATGATGAAAGGCGGCCCTGGCCAGATGGGACAAATGGGTCCGGGGATGGGTCCAATGGATGGGTTTCCAGGGGGCACCCCGTCCTGTGGTGTCATGGACGGCCTCGGTGCTGATGGTGAAATGCCATGGGACACCGTGAGTACCTTATTTATGATATTTTTAAATCTTTAGTAATATTCCTTAACATCTCAGTCAAAAGCTTCCTTAAACGCATAACTTAAACTGTTTTCTTTATTAAGCGTCGATAATTCTTTCCATGGACACCACATGTGCTATAAAATGAAATGAAAAGCCAATAACAATAATTAATTGATTTTTCAGACAAACGTGTTATAGCCTTTAACATCCTTTGTACGGAAAAGCCTTTGCCCAGCAGTGGGACATCTATAGACTGTTAATTTACTATTATTAAATTACTTATTTCAGAAAAACTCCTCGGTAATGTCGAACGGCATGTCTAACGGGCCGCCGCTTTCGATGCCGCCTTGCTCTGAAGCGGGGGACGCGCCCCCCTCCTCTGACGCCAACGACTCCTCGTGTCAGCCAGGGCCCAAAGGTACTCGAAATCAAAATATGTTTCCTTAAGTAGATGGTACTTAATTAGTAGATGAATAGTAAACGAGAAGTACTTTACCGTTTTAAATATGCAATGTAAAAATGTAATTAATGAGAATATATGGTATGTTCCGCAATAATTATAAACAGCCATTATTAACAGTGTAACGTCGGTGTTAGTAATCATAACACCAAAGAAGGGAGTAGTGTGTACACGGACACAAATTATCAATAACCATTAGATGGGATTTCGATCAGGGAAAGCACGTGCATAATAGAAAACGATAACACTATAATTTATTTAAAAGTTAATGGTCGATATACAATATGATATAAAAACAATGTTTAATAAATGTAACTTTCGGATTTCGTCTTATTTAATTTTGACATTTATATGACCCAACTAGAGCAATAAAGTTATTAACTTAGATTCCTTCGAACCCCCAGCAGGCGTAAAAATACCGGACGAAAACCTAACGCCGCAGCAGCGAGCACACCGCGAGGAGCAGCTCGCGACGATAAGGAAGATGCAGCAGATGCTGTTCCCGGAGAGCGGCAGCGGGCCTGGGCAGGGGCCCGGCGAGGGCTCGCAGCAGCAGAACGAGATCAACCCGCCCAACTCGACGGCGAACATCAACATGCCGTACCCCCCCATGTCCGGGATGGGCCCCAACGGCCCCATGGTCTCGGGGCCGAACGGGCCCATGGTCTCGATGTCGAACAGCATGAACAGCGGGCCCAGCTGCACTATGTCCGGCCCCATGGGTCCAGGGCCGATGGGGCCCGGCGGGCCGATGGGCCCCAACGGACCCATGGGCGGCCCGATGGGCGGAATGGGAGGGCCCGGCGGTATGGGCATGGGCGGGCACGGCTCCATGGGGCCTAACGGCATGATGGGACCCAACGGCCCCATGATGACGGGGATGGGCCCCAACGGCCCGATGGGGCCGATGGGACCGTGCGGCATGAAAGGCATTAGGGGTCCTTGCGGAGGGCCCGATATGAAGACGGGGATGTGTACGGACATACATATGGGTAGGGGATGCGGCGGGCCTATGGGGGTGAGTCTTTAGTTTTTTCTTACGGCATTAAAATTGTCATTTCATTTTTGCATTTATTAAAATCCTTCGTATTATTTTCACAGCGTATGCCTAATCCGATGGGCGGAATGGGTGGGCCGAAGCCCTGCATGATGGGCGGTCCACACATGGGACCTAGAATGATGCCTGGACCTAATATGAATGCAATGAATGGTATGATCATTAAAATATTTATACTAAGCAATAATTACTTGGCATGGTTTGCAATGGTTCTTTGGCCTGTCAGTCCTGTTTCACTTCCAATACAGTTGTTCAACATTTAGAAGCAATAGTTTATAGATGATGCTTACTTGAGTTTAATAATATTACAGTACCTGGAGGACCGAGCTTTGTTCGTTTTTTTTTGGTAAATCATGTATTTTGGAAATAAAAAAATTAAAAAATTAAGGAAAATGATCTGGTATAGAAAAAAAAGTAAAAAAAATAAGTGTGTAAATGATCGTGACGAACCGCGGCCGTTTGTTTTGGGGCCGCCCGATTACCGACCGACTATTATAACATTTATTTTTGCGGCGAAATTTACTGTCATATTCGAATGATATTTTTCATTCCCCGAGAACAGGGATAAAAAGACATTTTGTAAAAATGAAACTATTTTTCGCCCCCGAATCTACGCACATATTAAATTTGATGAAAATCGCTGGAGCCGTTTCTGAGATTCCGATTATATATAAACTGAAAATTTTATCTCGTTTCTTTATAAGTATGCATGTATGTACAGCTTCCATTTACTTTAAAGTCTATGCTGACAGTACAATTGTGCTCTATGGAAAGAATGACGTCGGATGCTGGTCCACAACTTCTTTAATTTTACATGTTTTAATTATTTTGTGTTTACTTGTTCAGGCGGTATAATGATGGACGGGATGGGCGGAATGGTGCACGGAGATTGCGGGCCGGACCACCACGGGATGCCGGTCAACGGGCCCATGTGCGACGAGTACGGCCGCGGACGCAGTGTGCGTATAAATGGACCTCTAGAGACCTTGATAAACTTTTTTTATTTAAATTATAACATACCCTGGAAATTAATTGATCGCTCCAGGCTCTTTCAAGTGGACTTCAATACATTTGTAAACATGTTTTTTTGTCAAATAATGGTTAAAAAAATGTCCCTCTGAGTTTCTTTCGCCGGTTCTCAGACAACCTTATAATAAAGTGGGCAGGTAAGTGGTTTAGGATAACCCCTCACTAGATGGAGTGACGTCCGGTGCAAATGTGCAGGAAGTCGATGGATGCAGGGGCTAAGGATCTAATTTGTGCAGTAAATGTGGGAGGCCTTTGTTCAACAGGTCACTTAAAGAGTCTGATACGATGATGATGATAAATGCAGTGGGCTCCTTTTCGAAGATTTATTTTTGCTACAGATGGGGCCAGGAGACCCCGGCGGGCTAGGCCCAGGTCATAAAGGTGGCCTGCGAAGCCCCAAGAGTCCCTCAGCCGCTGCAGATATCGACTGGCAAAAATTGCACCACCAGTTCTTCGATGACCCCAAATCAATGGAAACAGACCTCAGTAAGTCATATCCTATATTTTTTATAGACTTTTTCATCTCTTCGTTATGAGATCTTGCGATAGCCGATAACTGATCCCCGCCAATAGTAATTCGCGTAACAGATGGCATCGACAATGTAAAAGTATAAATAGCTACTTCGATTTTAGAATAAAACAATGCTGAATTAGACAGTAAATAATGTATTTATGTAGTATACTATACAGCGTGGCGTTACAACAGCGACAATATATGAACAGACATATAGACATCTTTAAACATCAATATTTACAGAGTTGTTAAATTTTCCAAAACAGACAAATTTAGAACACCCTTACGTATAAAACTGTAACGTAAAGTTCATAAAGCATATGAATGGCTGGAATTACTGTAAAAGAGATAAAACATACTGTTAGAAGGAGAGACTTGTAATGCGACACTGCGTCAACGAATGAAAAATTCTTTGATTGTATCAATCAGTCAGTTGTAGCTGTATAGGATGTTACAAATTTTGTTTCTTTTTCTTTAATTAATTTGTGTGTCTTAATGTAATGTCGCGGTTGTTACAACACGCTGTATACATTTAAAAAAGTCGAAAATTGTAACATCTATCTGGCGGTAATTGATGTCAGTGTGCTAAAAGTAATGGATTTTAAAATAACAAATATAATGAACGTGCATTTCTTTAAGTATTTACTATTCTTAGCATAGGTAATGCTAAAAAAAATAACTATGATTTATGCATCCACATATTTATTCAGATATAACTTGTCGATATGTTATAATATTGTTGTAACATTTGTTCCAGGCACACAAGTGAAATCACCATGCTCCGAGAGAGGCGGATGTCTACCGCCACCACCTTACGGCGCGTCGCCATTACACCGCTCAGCATCCGTGCCAATTGGTAATAAATACTCTTTTTAATACTCTGTTATATTTTTACACTTTAATACTCAGTACTACTACTACTCTGTACTGTAATTCTGTGACTAAGACTTGCTTGATAAGTACTGAATTAGTTTATTTGTCAAAGAAGTCTTCTGAATAGGCCTCGTTTGTAAACAATTCTTAACTTTTGAAGCTTCTTGGCCACAAATTATTTTATTTACAAATTGTATTTATATACCACAATGGTCATATTTCGTGCTATCGAGTAATTAGTTATAAATTATATTGTTTGTTTTTACTCAGAGATTATTATACTTATATAGAATGATGCCTTGACACTAGCTTATATCTACGGTGACATGCGTTTATGTAAAAACATTATTAATTTTACTGGAAACTATATATATTTTAGTAGAATTTAAATAAATAAATAATTCAGTGTAAGCATTAGGAATCCAAACCTCGACCTGTTTTTAAGTTATAACCGCCGCCCATGGACATTTGCACCACTCATAGGGTAGCAGATGCGTTGCCACCTTTTAATAAAATGGGCCCCGGCTACCTCACTTACCAGACGAAACGCAGAAGAATAACACTGCCACTTCACCCCGGTCTTCTGTGAGGTAGTGTTACATACCCGGACGGACCTGCCCATAACCCGCGTAACAGCGAAGACTGATAAAATATTTTACTGTCGTTTTGCTATTATGTACTTGCTGCTGCCCGCGACTGCGTCTGCGTAGAATAGGCTGAAGGCGTAACATACAGACAGAAAACAGATATACATAAAAATATGTATATAAATTATATCCTATGTGTTATTCTGATGTATAAGCTATATTATTGTAAAGTTTCGTTAAAATCCAATCAGCAGTATTTGCGTGAAAGAGTAACAAACATCCATCCATCCATAGAAACTTTCGCGTTTATAATATTAGTAAGGATTTCTGAACGTTTTTCTTTCCACGCAGCCACCGCGTCGCCGTCGCACGGCTCGGTGCAGATGCCGATGTCGGCGGAGGGCTCCCGCGCCGGCTCCGGCCTCAACAGCCCCGCCCACTGTAAGCCCGGGCACAAGCAGGATGCGCCAGGTCGGTCTCGCGCACGCAAGCACACCCGCACACGCAAACACGCACGCACACTCAAACATGTACGCAAGCACACTCAAACATGTACGCAAGCACACACTCGCGTAAATGCGCACACATGCACTCGAACGCGCACATTGATATCAAGTCCATATATAGCATTTACAACCGGGTAAAAGCAGGACGCGCCATGTTGGTCTTGCGCGCTAAAGTACACACGCAGATGCAGACACGCACGCACGCACACGCAAGTGCGTACGCAAGCACACGCGTACAGGCATGCACTGGAACGCGCACATTGACATCAAGTCCATATATAGCATTTACAAATACCAAAAGATGCCCGGGTACAAGCTGGACGCGCTATGTCGGTCTCGCGCGCACAAAAATAAGCGTACGTACACACTCCTGCAAAGCGAACACATGCGAACAGTCATGCTGTGAAACACGCACATGGATATTAAAACCATATATTGCATTTACAAATGCCGAGAGATACTTCTGAGCAAGGTGTACTCGACAGTACATTTCATATTCAGTAAAAAATGCTAAGCAAATTATTTTCATATAATGAAATAAGAGATGCTAGCCGTTTATTGACATGAGCTCATACATGAGAAAACTATACTAGTGTTACAATATTAACACAATCATCTTTATACTTAATATTCACTACATACTAAGATAGAAAGCCATAGAAGTAGCAATTGCATGCATTTTTATCTGTGTTAGACATTTTCCCAACCACGAAGTTTTTTTTTTGTTATAATTTCGCATTTTACAATTAAAATTTTGTTTCATACGAATTCGAAATGCGTTTTTTATTTTTTTTCATTTTGTTTTCTGTAGTTGTAATGCATATTTTTTGTTTTCCTTCCCCCCCTCCCCCGCAAAACGCTTGACGCTTGAAATCCCAACCAACGTGTGACGAAATAACAACGAAAAACCCACTAAAATCCGACATAACGGGCCATCGCCGGTACGCAATAACGGAATAAAACCTCTCGTACGAAAACCATACGGCCTGTTAACGGGAAAACCCCCCTGAAACGTCGGACATGAACGAAATCTGTCCCATTGGCCCCAAAAGAGATTCTCGAGAAACTAGACGACGGTGTGTTTGTCCGTACGCTCCAATGTCTGGCGGCGCAGAGGAAGAGCCAACAGAATGCGCACGGAAAGGAACCGAGTTTGATGCCCGTGCCGTCACCGCAACAAATATCCTATCTCAACCAATTTGAAGGTAACTAACTAGCTTGCTCATAAAGGGAGTTAAATCGCCTCGACAGCTCTTAATAATTACTGTCACACTAAATATTTGTCCCACATTTGTATTCACATATTATTTAATAAACTTCAGTCCACATTGTTCTATCATGCTGAAGCTTTTCTACTGAAATTGAAAAACGAATTGCTATATAAGGAATTATACAAGATTATACCAGACATAAGTACATAGTATATTTTACTTTTTAATAACTTCTAGTTACAAAAAGATAATATTATTTATAATGTGGGAGGAAGCCACTAAGTTCTAAATTCTATGAGTACCACATAATATACTTTCAAAAGTTATTTAATTTAAATTTGAGCAGCTTTTTGGTTATTTCATAGTTGTATAACTCGATTTATTGCGATTTTAGTGTAGTAACAAATATATATATTGCATATGAAAGCAAAATATGAATTACTTTCATATCTAATATAAATAATATTTGTGTTTTCTTTAAGTATGCTTTTAATTTATTTTTAATGTCATATGTCGTATGTTTGAAAATGTTTAGCTTTTGTAGATATGCCAGGGGTTTTTAATAATAAGCGCATCTAATATAATATGTTTTCTAAGTATTTCTAATATTATTTATTTTCATTTTGGTGGTGGTTGGTGAAAATGTGCTAACATACTTTTCATACTCTATGGCTAATTTGTATTTCACTGAGTTGCGTGTACTCTTGTCATAATTGTCCCATCAGGTAATAGTTTATTTGTGTTTTCTACATACTTTATTTATTCTATGATTATCTTATAGCAATCAACCCAAAGTGATCATAATATTTTTGTGTATGCAGGTCAAGAATTAACAATACAGAAGCAGCCAAACACATCACTAAAAGACAATGGGCCACCTTCCAATAGCGGTGGTCAAACACCCCAGTCCAATTCCAATCAGAAATCACCTGCTGGGTAAGTAATATCATAACTCATAATAAGGTATTATGCACTTGCATATCATATTATATTATTGCATTAATTTAATTATACAACGTGGCGCTACTAACGCGACCATAAATCAACACTCATATAGAGGATAACTTTTTAAATTGTGTTAAATATTTACTTTATTTAAACATAAATATTTACCGAGTTATTAAATTTTCCAAAACAAATTATTTTAGAACATCCTTATGTATAAAACTGTAATGCAAAGTTCATTTGTAAAGATCACAAAGCATATGAATTAGTTGAATGAATTTAAAAGAGATAAAACATAACATGTTAGAAGGAGAAACTTCTAATGCGACGTTATGACAAATAATGAAAAAGTCTCTGAATGTATCAATCAGTCAGTTGTAGTAGTTATATAGGATGTTACAAATTTTGTTTCTTTTTTATTTAATTAATTTGTTTGAATTTTTTTTTTTTTAAATATCGATTTCTTTTAATGTTTATATATTTTTTATGATTATTGGCAAGTAGCGTAAGAAGTGTGTTCATTTATTGTCGCGGTTGTAACGCCATGCTGTATATGTATATAATGTCGTGTTGATTATTTATTGTTTATGTGAAAATTGGCAGCATGATGCCGGGGACTCCTGAACCACACTCGTCCCATTCGGAGCAGCGCTCGGGTCGCTTCTCGATGGAGCAAAGTCCAGGATTCAACAATCCACAGACGCCCACATCTGCTGCCAATTCAAAATGTGGAGGTAAATCACCAATATTTAATTGGTTTTAATAATACTTTACTCGTTTTTCTTGCATACCTTAAAATAAATAAACCTTATAATAGACATAAAGGTGTATTATAGATTTTTTTATCTAAAAAAATTTATAAAACATTCAAAATGTTTCAACTGCATATAGTTTTAAGCTTCTCACTCATCTGGTAGTCATTTTAAGATGTACAAAGTTATGTATGAAATAAACAGCAAAGGGACTAATTAAAAAAATTTTGTTATTAAACCTTACTTTACATTCATCTTTATTAACATGGTTTAAGACAGAAAATAAATGGAAGTAACAGTTATTTTGTGGCAATACACTGAGTATTCATGAAAGAAATCCAACTCGAATCGCAAACAAATAACTGATATTCCTATTTACCAATATCACTCATATGTATAGCACTCTAACACTCAATTATATAATTACAGACGAAAAGTCACGCCCCAGCCCTTCATCGAACCGGTCGAGTCAGGACAGCGCGTCGAAAACGCCCCAAAGGGAGTCCTCGGGTTTGAACCAGGGGCCGTACGCGCCTAGCTCATCCGCCTCCTCCTGCGCCGGTAGCGTCAAGAGCAGCTGCAGTATCGCCTCAAGTACGGCGCCCACGTCGGTGAGCGGAAACATGGATGACAGTTTAGCCGGCAATAATGAGGTACATTAAACCTGCTTACATTCAATTACAGTCCATGCACTCCGACACTCTCCGGTTACAGTCAGTCATGGTAATGTGTGATGTCTTCATTGGAACACTGTACACTATTTTCTATACTATTATCGTCATTAACTTTAGAATAAACTTAATACTAGTTTAACTTTTATATTTATATTTTACTGGGCATAACAACTAAATTTTCATTCAGTGTTATAAGTTTCAATATAATTTAATAGGTTATAAAATACATGCAGGATTTTAAAAACCTCATTTAAAGAGAATTTAGATAAATCTGACCATGATTTAAGAGAAGATTATATTAATTAGATACGGGCGACAGTCATATTACGTTAGTCATGAGTAAGAGTTGTTTTTAGTAAAATATCAGCCTGCTGAGCAAAATCCTCTGTAGGAGTATGCCATGTTCCAAAACCTGACCCCATACTAATTGGCAGGCCTCACATACTATATTTAAAATATTTTGATCATTATTATTTCGAAAATATCTTGGTTTCATCAAGATATCATCCATCATCACTAAGCACCATAAATGAAAAGATAATATTGCTTACTAAAACTTTATACACAGACACAGCTTACCTTGCTTAATAGTAAGACTAAAATATTTTAGTTTAAATTATAGCTAATATTGTACTTATTTCCAGACGACATTATCGGGAGGTCCAAATAGTACAAGCCTACCAGGTCCATTTCCTGGTCCATGCAGCATGAACAGGCCAGACAATATTCCTATCAATCCGAACCAAGGTCCAAATGGCCCCATGGGTACCTCTACGTCTTCCTTTGACCCTATATCGTCCCTTGCCCAGATGTCGCAACAACTCACAAACACAGTTGGAGGCGGTGGTCCAGGTCCTACAGGACCCATGGGGCCTAATGGCAGCGGAATGGGACCTTTCGGTTCAGGGCCACATCACATGCAGCATCACCATGCAATGCATCCCCACAGTCATCCGCATATGATGATGAATGATTTAGGTAAACATTTAATTACCATTCTATAAGTTCAGTGTCTACTTTTTATTAATGACATTTTTAAAATTGTATAATAATTTTGTTCAGGTTGCCATATGGATAACATGGGAGGTCCAGGTATAGGTGGACCTATGGAGGGAATGATGGGCGGTGGTGACTTTCCTCCGGATATGAACTTAAGCCCTAAAATGGGTGGGGGGCCTATGGGCGGGCCGATGGGCCCAATGGGTCCAGACGCATCCATGCTCGGGCCCAGGATGGGGGGCGGCGGCAAAATGCCCCCGTTCAACGGGGCCAACGTCCAAGTGAAAGCGAGCGCGCCGAACACAATACAATATTTGCCGACGAGGCCGCAGATGCCGTGCAACACGGGCCCCCGGGGCCCGCCGAGCCTGGACTTCCTGCAGCGGGTCACGAACCCGATGCAGATGGACGGCGGCAAGGGCGTGCAGTACTTCCCGGGCGCGAGGGGCATGGACATGGAGGGCGGGATGCGCGGCGTGATGCGACCGCCGGGCGGCATGCTGCGGATGCCCCACTACCCGGCCGGCTTCAACTCGCCGCCCAAGATGGCGGGCGACCCGTTCGGGGCGGGCGGGCCGGGCGGGCCGGGCGCCATGTGCGGGCCCAACTTCAGGGGCGTCAAGGGCATGGGGCCGGGCAACGTGCGCATGGGCTCCGCGCAGCCGCTGCCGCCATCCATGGGCGGGCCCGGGGCGGGCTTCAAGGGCCAGGGCTTCGCGGTGCCCTCCACGGCGGACCCCAACTACGCGGCGCAGTTCCACAACTTCCAGCAGCAGCTGTACGCGACGGGCAGCCGCGCCGCCCAGCCCCACCAGGGCTACCCGCCCTACCAGCCGTCCAAGTGATGATCGCCCCACGGCCAGTGTGGACCCGGAGTGAAGGTCGCGGCGCTATAAGGCCGCGCCGGCGGCCGACCGTGCCGCGTTGTGATGTGGACACCTAACGTAACGGATCTAATGACGGCCTCGCTGGTATTCGCTAGGTTTTTGTATTCGCCGATCGGTCGGCGGTTTACTGAACGCGAACGTACTTAATTCAGATACGCCAGTGATGATCAAATTTTTTGTTAGTGATTTTTTTTTTCTAATTTTTTTGTAATTTCTTTCTTCTTATTTGTGAGATTTCTCTCCCGTTTCATTCAGATGTGTCGAGTTTCGCATGGTAATTTTATCGTTTGGTAGGGTATCATTCACTTAAGATTGTTATAGTAGATTTCTTGACTGAGTATGTTTTTATATGGAAGCGAGCGGATACGTTTGTACAAATTGTACAAATTTTTAGAAATGTTATCATGTACTCTACATAATTTAAAGTACAGTTTTTAGACTTATTTTTGCTGATGGCAATAATATAATTTTTATCATTTTATTTTACACAGTCTCGCCAGAATTTCAGTGTATTGGTTCCTTAACTTAGTTATTTTATGTACGATTCCTATGCACACAAATATCTAGTCAATTTTGAAATTAATAATGCCCGACACTGTGTTAAATGTAATCTGTAATAATCGAGTCCGCAGTTTGGTTACTTTAACGACACAGAAGTACATAATTATTTTATAAACAATAATTTGTCCATTATAGTTTTAGATTATGTAGTAGTGAAATTGGTTTAATTTAATTTTTTTGGCTTGTGGCCAGTATAACATCTGGAACTAATGTACTAGAATATTTTTTTTACTATTTTATTATTTTCTCGATCTGATAGCAATGATTTTCTGTCTTCCATAACTTTGTAAACTCTTAATGTAACAATAAGCGAAAAAGTACAGATTTTTACATGCATTTATCATTGAATGCATTAAAGTAGCGCAAATCAAATTCAACACAGCCTGCCTTCTAAGTAATTTAAAAGTACTTAAAATCTGTTGCCATATTGTTTGCCACATGAATTTAGTTTCGTGATATTTTTAACTCTTCTATTTAATTTATTGTTTACGAAACCTTAACAAACAATGCCAATATTTTCTGAGTGCAACACAATGATTTATTTTCTATATAGTTAATAGTTAATACTATGCTAGGCTAGTAATCGCACATTGTGGATGTCACAGTGGCCTTTGATGTAAAAAAAATGCCTTGTTTATGAGCAATTTGAACCCCGGCAGGTGCGGACGCGAACGCGAACGTCCACTGAACGTATTTGTAAACGTTAACCGCTCAAAGTGTAGTTATGATCTATTTGAGATTAAGAGGGCGTAAGTGGCATAACGCGACAAACAGCACAACAGTCCAATAAGAAACACCCGCTAGAAATTAGATAGTCTTAATTTAAATGTAATTATATTGTAAGGTAAACAATGGTTCTTGTTTTAGGCTAAGCGAAGAGCAATGATATGAAATAGTTTGTGTAATATTAATAAGAGATGAAATTAAGATGCAAACTATTGGTTGTGATTCCGACACAATTTGTTAAGTTGTTCGTAGATTTGACACGGAGAATACTTGTGGGAACTTAACTTACTTCACGATAAGGCCCTTTTTTATTTTTTGTTTTTGGATATTTTTACTTGTCGTTCTCGTTTGTACATCGCTAACAATAATTGTACAGAGTACTTTTGGACTTAATTTAAGGCAATAAATGTATTTATTTTATAAATCGTGATGTAAGAATTTATTCTTAATTATTATAAAAAAAATATATAATATGCTTGTAACTCATGTTTCAGTTTAACCATAATCTTGACCAGTTTAAATAATAGCTATTGACTGCGTAACATAGCATATAATTTCTCAAGCTTAACTTGAGAAAAGTATGTGCTATGAGTTGTTTTTAATGAAAAATGTACTCAAATTGATAGTGAATTAAATACCTATACAGGAAACGGTTTCACGAATTAAAGTTTTGACTTGAAGGGTACATGAAAGTCAATGCAAGAGAATTTTTATTTGTGCGAATTTAAGAATTGTAATATATAACACGCACATCCATAACAATTGAAATGTATAATCCAACACTAAATACATCATTGTCATGAACACAATTTCCATGAACAATATTTACGCCTTTGACACTTTCTAATTGAAATCGGTCATAACAATTCCGTAACACAAAATGTATATAGATCGACAACACTAACGCCAAGTTACTGTTTTCGTTGCGACAGGGAAAACTAGATGTAGACTTGAAACGGTTTGTGAACAATTCGTTCTCTGCTGGAATATAATCCACCATGCCAATACAATAGAACAAATTGCACAATGCAACAAGCATACGTTTAAAACACTGAAATTATTATCACTGAAAAAAATTAAAAAGGTTATTACTAGAAATATTTGTTGACATATTTACCAACTACAACTTGCTATAAAGTGGTATAGTGGCCAAGAGCTGGCAAATTTCCTAGAAGCAAATAAGGATAAAAAAAATTACATTCTACGCCACAATGAACAACTTACTGCGGCAGATGATACAAGATGATACGCTTAAGGATTTAGATAGACAATTCAGGATTTAGATAGACAATTCAGGATTTAGATAGACAATTCAGGATTTAGATAGACAATTCAGGATTTAGATAGACAATTCAGGATTTAGATAGACAATTCAGGATTTAGATAGACAATTCAGGATTTAGATAGACAATTCAGGATTTAGATAGACAATTCAGGATTTAGATAGACAATTCAGGATTTAGATAGACAATTCAGGATTTAGATAGACAATTCAGGATTTAGATAGACAATTCAGGATTTAGATAGACAATTCAGGATTTAGATAGACGATTCAGGATTAAGATAGACGATTCAGGATTTAGATAGACGATTCAGGATTTAGATAGACAATTCAACTGTATTGAAAATTTGGAACCAATTCTAATACGTACAACTACATGTTGTTAAGATCATCTGGAAAGAGAACAAAGCTACTCGTGACGGAATACGCATATGGGAACAGTACAAGAGCTTTTTAATAAGTTATGTATACCGTTAAACCCTTTTCACTTTGCAACGAGATCACTGAACTCTCTATTTGTCTACCCAAAATTTAACCGCGCTGTTAACAGTTTACATAGGGATGCATCGATATTTATTTATCTCAAGGCAATTTAAGGACTGACTTTTCATTCCAACTATTCCGAAGAATAGGAGTGAAGTGTTCATATATAAGATTTGATTAAAGACCCATACTATGAGTACTAAAGATTATATTTAACATAGTATCGAAAAAATGTTGTGCGGTATACTCTGCAACAATATTTCGTCAGAATACCATTGAAGAGCTTTAACCTCAACAACCTTGCAGAGAGAGCTATTGAGAGTCAACAGCCTTCATAACTATGTGTACTATAAAAGATCATTTGACCAAGACAATCAACACCATAAAGACAGTGGAAGCACATTATCCCACTTGAAAGTTCACACCGAAGATGCCTAATTATAGCCAATAAACTACAAGATTTTTTGTCTAAAAAAGCTTAACTGACTTTGGAGCAAATAAATAAATATTTTGTGGAGATTGAGTTGATTGACGCCACGGAAAATAAAACAAGTCCATTTTTTATTAACAAAGAACAAAACCGACTTCAAATATCTCGCTTTGTATTCATTTTATAATTGATTTTCAGGAGCTCCCTAAGTATCTCTGGATCCCAAGATGCCATACCAATTAAATTAATATGGGACCACATCCCATGTGGTTCCATATTAATTTAATTTCATTCATTGATCTAATATTTATAAGATTAAATCTAAAATTACATATTATCTAATAAACCTAATCCACGCGGCATGGTGCCAAGAACGCTAGCTGCATTTCCTCGCTGAATAGTTATGCTTAACCTTTGAGCGAGAAAAGAACCAGCTCTCTTGTCACCAGCCGCGGCGTTAAGCCTAGGACATAAACTTTGAAAAAAATGTTGATGTGCGGGGACCCCACGGACCTAATGTCAACAGCAAATGGCACAAATACATCATCTAAACATAATGACTCATATTTGCGCCATTTACTTACTTCAGCTGCCTCCGATGCCGCCCCGGCCCTGACCGAAGTACCCCTTAGATGAGAGGCAGCCAAAGTGTCTACACAACTGGCGTCCCAAACAAGGGCTTTGCCTCTCTCCCAAGGGATCAATGTTAAACCGTCGGGTCTCGTACCATCGCCGCGAAAAATGCCATAGGGCTCTAAAATAGATGGAAACAAGAGCCCTACGGATGATGTCGTTCAGGGAACCGTGGCGGGAAAAACGCCCAGCATTTTTTTGACAAGAAAGCCTGTGGAGACCAAATTTGTCTACACTGACACCACAAGGGCATTTCAGTATATATGTCTTATCTATGGGCATTGGTGTTGTTGACAAATCGGTGCCCCCAGACGGATTCCTACAGCAATGAGTAAGCTTTCATCGTCAAGTAATGTGCCCAAGTTACTTGATGGTAAAGCGTGAAGCCAATAACTCGATTCTTTAGATGAGACGCCTAGGAAACGGGCACGCTCTAAATTACTTTCTAAAGATTGAAACGTATCTCTCTGTACTCTCCGCACCAAAGGAACATCCCACTGTTTTTGTAGGTTTACTTCCAGTGGGATATATATTCATTCAATGGACCACATCACATCAGCTTTCAAATAAAAAAAAGAATCATCAAAATCGATTCACTTAGTCGAAAGTTCTGAGGTAACAAACATAAAAAGAAAAGAGACGAATTAAGAACCTCCTTCTTTTTTGAAGTCTGTTGAAAAGACCTAAATATTTTGTTGCAAATAATAACTACAAATCTAATCGCGTCACTCGATATTAAATTCAACAAAACAAAGGATATCTCATGTATACGATGCTATTACTATCACAATTATGCCACAATAGTAAGTGAAGTCAAGTATAGTTTGATTACACCTTAAC